ATGGATATGTCTATGGGCATTTTTATAATTGATAGTTAATGTTGGAAGGTCTAGCCCACTGAGGGCAGTACCAACCCTAGGCAGATAGAGCTGAGCTATAAGAAGAACAGCTGACTATGAACCTAAGGTCAAGCCAGCAAGCACTGAAGCTCTATGGTCTGTTTCACACTTCTGCCTTGAGTTCCTCTCTTAGTTTTTCTTGATGATGGACTGTAGTGTGCAAGGCAAAATTAACTGTCTCTTCCCAACGTGGGTTTTGGAGAATGTTTACCACCACAATAAAAGCAAGCCTAGAGCACAATGTAACTTAGTGTCATCTATGCTTCTTTTAATGTGGCCTGGTAATGTATTATTTCTCAATGCATTTTTAGTTCTGGAACTCCATCGCAGATCATGGTCCCTGAATAACAGCACTTGATTGCTATAAACCACAGAGAAGACTTTGAATAATTCTAAGTGAAAAACTCTGATAATAACATCTAAACCCACTAATTACAGAACAGATTTTAATACCCTCTCTAAGAACTTCAATATTTTCAATCATCTATGAACAGATTACAACCATGGGGGACAGGGAATACCTGGCTTAGATGCTCTCACTTTGACCTATGCTGTGGGAGAGGAATGGATGTTTGTGATACCCCAGAAGATGAGGGGGGCCTTTGTTAAGGTGGTGACAGCTGACTGCTACCAGGTGTCTTCCCTGATGGCAGCTAGTTTTCATTATAATACATTTCCTTCTCAACTTATCCCCTATGAAGGTCTCTCTGGCAATGAGAGGCTCAGCCTTCCCGAAGAAGCCTGTATGCTCTCTGTAGCTTCCTTTTTACCTCCTGGTCCCCTCACCTGCAGACACCCTTGGATAAGAGGAATCTCTCTTTAAAATATAGGTTCAAACCAGAATCAGTTTGATCACACATCCTTAGCCCCCCCTGCGCCTGCAAACTTCAAGTTTTCATGGTGATTCCTAGGCAGGAGAATTTGGATAGCATCCCCATCCTTTTCACGGCAGATTTGCCCTTTACTCAGCTGGGAGCACCAGATCCCCAGTGGCCAGTAAATATTTGAGAGAAAGGCATTTATTTGGTTCATAGGAGCCAATTTCCTTTCCCTAGTCATCCAAAAAGAACTGGCTCTTTTCAAAAATAAAAACTAGTTTTTTTAAATTAATTTAGAGTTCACAAAAATGTCTAGTCTTTGCCCTTCTTTTTCAGTTCTTCTCCACATGTATCTGTCTGTGTGTCTGTCTATCCATCTGTCTGTTTGTCATCTGACTATGCATCTACCCATCCCTGCCATCTCCTTTATCACTGGCATTGACAGAGAGACACACACACACAGATCAGACTTTGGTCCCATTTCCACCATTTTTATGGAATGTGGCACATGTTTGGAGCAAGGCTTCTCCATGCAACTTTGACTAACTAAAACTTCAGACCCTTCTAGGATTCAAACAAAGCATGATTAAATCTACCTGTACATGAACAGACCACATGATTAATAGTTTAGTGGATATTTGCCTCAAAAGTACTTCATTAAATTATAAGTTTCATAATGAATACAAATTCTAAAGGGCATCTGGACTCTTTAGAGAAAACCAATAGGAAGAAAAAATTATGTATAACACAGTGAAATAAATATTCTAAATTGGGCTGACTAACAACTGGTAAGAATCCTGGGGTATAGTATTATAAAACCATTGCTGGATTTAACACCCTCTGTGATAATTATTCTTTTCTATCCTTGGAACCAGATTTTAATGTCCCAAGGAACGATTTACATCTTACAGAAGCAGCAGGGACATCTCAGCTGCCAAGAGAGTCCACTCCATGGTGCTTTTGATGGCAAAGTTTAAATGGTTATAAATCTATTAGAAAGGAGAGACATTGCGGATTCATTATTGTATAGATTTAAGGCATGAGCATCTCATTAACCTATGCCAATATGTTAAACAGGCCATTCTGTGCGAGAAAATACAATTTGGTTTGCGTGCCTAAGAATACCCCATACAGCAGCCTCCATTCAACTGCGTTTCATTCTTTTCCTCCTATGTTGTTAGAGCTTGGACATAGTAGAAAAGGGTGACTCTGACTAGTTAATTGCCATTTTAGATGTTTATAATTAGGAAGGGGATTATGCAGAGTTTCTATAGATAAAAGTGTTTTTTTGTAGACTCCAGATCGAAGCCCTGTTGCCCCGCATTCATTAATATTGAAAATTGTTTCCCTTCCTGCCAAGTTTTCCTTGCTGAAAGGGGTTGCCTGTAGGGTGAATTGAAAGACTCCATCACATATCTGGGATAACAGGCTTGCTGATATCTGTTATCATGGGCTTATGTGCTCTGTATTGTTCCCTCACCCAGTGACACTTGATAAGCACTGTGTCTCAGGCACCTGTGTGAGCGTGTCATAAACAAAACCAAAGCCCCATAATTCAGGATGGAGCATGCCTTACTTTTCCTGGCTGTGTGTGTACTCATTTGCATCTCAGGGTCACAGAGCCACAGCCTGTTTGTGTATACTGTGATTTGACTATGAAACATGCTGGCAGCCTGCCAGCATTCTGATCTATATCTCCTGCATCCCCCATCATCTTTCAGAATGTTGACCTTTCAGAATCCACTTGTGCCTCTCAAGAGCCTGCATTTTCCAGGACTTCTGTATCTGGCTCCTTTCACATTTTTAAAAAAATCATTTTTCACTTAGTATACAAGACAATGTGTTTCATTATGACTCACTGATACATTATAGTATTATCCATTGTTCTCATCTACCACAGTCCTGAGAGACTCTCCTCCTTTGTTTACCAACCGTTTCTGTGAATTCAACATGTATATATCTCATTATCCTTTGTTGCCACCCTTCCCACTCCCCGTTTGACCTTTTCCTCCTCTCATGATCTCCTTTTGGCTTTCATGTCATATATACATGTGTGTGCATACATACATATAAACATACTTATCCAGGTATGATTATAAATTTAAATCTAGGCCCTGAATATTAGGGATGATATGGACTCTTTGTCTTTTTGTATCTGGATTGTTCCATGGGCATATTACTACCAGTCTCTAAGACCATACCTACAGAAATCCAGGGCCATGTTTATAGTGTACTGTTCACAGGAGCAAAGATATGGAAGCAGTCTGGATGTCCATCTGCAGATGGACAGATAAAGGAAATGCAGAACATGCACAAAATAAAACTTTACTTACTGCAAAGAAGAATAAAATGTCATTCACAAGAAAATATATGGAGCTGGAGATTTTCAATTCATACAAAATAACCCAGACTCCCTTCTTATTGAAAAACTTTTGACTTTGCAAAACTGACACTGTCTTGTGGCTTATTCACTCAGGGCCATGTTCTTAGCTTATCTCTACAAAGGTATCACCAGATAATGACTTCGTGGATGATTCTATTATAGTCTCTTTCTTTTGCGTTTTTAAATCTTTTGGGTAATTTTCAGCATTGCATATAAAACGTATACGATATATCTTATCATGTTCACCTCCATTACCTTCTCTTGTCTCCTCACAGTGACCACTCCATACCCTTACTGGCCCCCCTTCTACTGGCATGTCATCATTTTTAATGCATGTATCTGACTCACTGAGAATCAAGTTGTTTGCATGAACACGATGTGGATATATTTATCTAAGACCACCTATTTAAATGAAGAAAATACCTCCCCCTTCTCCAACAGCCATTGACTGCCAGTCGGGGGTGGGGTGGGGATAAGCCTCATTAGTTTATTCAATTCTTGAATGAACAGTAGTAGGCCTGACATTGTGTGGGTAACTGCAGATGCTATGAGCCATGTCTTGTTTAGGAGGCAGCATTATTTAACAGCTTTCCTCCCAATCCACCAAATCTTACATTCCTTCTTCCTCATCTCCTGCAGTGTTCTCTGGACCTCATGGTGTCATCTAGATAGCCTGGTTAGGATGGGGCAACCAATAGTCATCTATTCTCAACACTTCTTTTCAATTCAGTCCACGAAGATTACATGAAGACTGTTACCAGTTGTTGAAGGTTCCAGATCATATTAAAAATAAGGTTGTTTGATAGATGTGGAAACTTTAGTGCCTCTAAATACCTCATATATTATGTAAGATAGTGTGGTAAAATTGAAAGTTAGGGTCCAATGGGACCAAGAAAAACCCTACTGAAGGAGTTTGTAGGAAGCTGGAGGCACAAACATCATTAGATTGGCATGGCTGCTGTCATTCTGCCCACTGCCATTCCAGCCTACTGGATGCCACCTGCAAGTGACAGCAGAATTTGAATTCTGCTTGTCTCCAGATGTGTGCTGTCTCCTCTTTACATGGCAATGCCAAAGTGTGTATCTCAGCTTGAGTCCCAGATTTAGAGGTCTTGACAAGCGAGACTGAAGATTCTACCTTTACAAATTCCTTAGCAGCACAGGACTGTCTGCAACCTGGGAGAACTAGAGGAACTCTTTTTAAAATTCTATGCCTTTTTTCCCTAAGTATGTTTGTCCTTGGTGTTTCTACCTTATATTAGAACTATAGTTCAGTAAAATACATTGTGGAGAGGATTTGTGTGTGCTTTAGGAGTTCAGCTTCTAGTTTCATTTACAATAAATATATTAAAATTTTGTTCATATGTGTGTGGAGGGGTATGTGCATGTGAGTTCGGGTACCTGTGGATTCCAGATGTGTCAGGTTATGCAAATCAGTCATTACAGATGGTTGGAAGCAGGGAACAAAACTCAGGTTCTCTTCAAGATCAGTATGTGCCATTTACTCTCAACTCAAGTTAAATATTCAACGTGCTATAAATGGTAACTTGTAAAGAAAACGTGAATATGTATTCACGTTGAAACAGTAGGCGGAAGCATACCTAATAATCACCTACAGTCAAAATATCATGTTGGAGAAAATGTTATTTTGACTCTAGGTGATTATTAGGTTTGCATGTTTAATATGTAAGTATTATCTTATAATTAATATGCTGTGTATCTTTTTTTTTTATTTTCAGGTCGAGGAGGCTCTGGAATCTGTCAAAAATGCTACAAATGAGCAAGATCTTGCAAACCGCTTTAAGGAGTTTGGGAAAGAAATGGTGAAACTGAACTATGTAGCTGCAAGACGACAACAGGTGGGGAAGTTTGGAATGTTGCTGGGGGAAGGGGGAGTTTAGATAACCGTGTCCTGTCGGCCTGAAACATGGAGCAGTTGCATCTGCCTGTGATTAAATGATCCAAGAGCATCTCACAAAGTCTGTGTCCTGCTTTGACCATTGATGCCTCCATTGGTGCCTCCACATGGGGCCCAGGTACTTGCTGCCTATGAATAGAGCACAGAATACCAGTTTTCAATGATGAGAACAAGTTTCCAGTCCCACCACACGTGAACCTTCTGTCCAGTGCATGGGGAGCTCCAGGTCAAACGAAAAGAAAGCAGACTGGGGTGTGGTGCTATACAGTCTCTGGATGCCACTGTTTGCTCCCAGACTAAATCTCTTTGTTCTGTGTAAACCAAAAGGTACATACACAGGATGCAGCACACATGCAGCAAAACTTTTATAAAAAGAACAGAAGGAAGTAAGGACAGAGTGAGAAGAAGAACAAGTGGGGAAGGAAAGAAGAGGGAAGAAAGACACAGGTGACAAGCAGCCATAACAATGGAGATGGATGACCTAGGATCCCGCCCCATATCTCCTCTGTCAAGAGACAGACCCCTTAGTTCTAGCTGTTCATGGGGCGCCTCTGGAATTCTCAAAGAGTTCATTGTTCACGAAGAGCATCATTGTGTTCTAAAACACAAACAAGCAAACAAGTAAAAAGCAGCCCTGTGCTTGGGAGCATCTATTACTCTCCTGTTCACCAGTCCTCTTGATTTCTCCCAGAACTCTTCACATTTGAAGGAATGTTATAGGTCTTTCACCAACTGAAAAGTTTTGTCCCTCAACAGTAGTTGAGTATCTGCTCTCTACCTGGCTGAAGTGATGCTGAAAGTACAAATATCCTGTATGCAACAGGAACTTAAGCACAAGTTTAGTTTGTGTAATTATCATTAATTTTACATATATAAGTCTTTGTTGCTTGCTGTCTGCCCAGTGTGAGTCCAGTGGGTAACTGCTCTTAAGTGTATGTGTGGCAGGGGGTGGTGGTGGTGAGAGGGCTTTCTCTTAGTGAAATAACTGATTACAGTGCTTAGATATAAGAAAACCAAGAGGGAGGCAGGAGAGAGGGGATGTTAGATAGAAATGCACAGGCCATGCTATATGGACTTGTTATAGAGTGCCTGGATCTTATAGTAAGCAGGCTCAAAATGTAGTATCCATGTCTAAGCTTTTCATTTTCACCATTCTAAATATTTTGCTGAAAAAGAAGCAAAATAAAAGAGGACAGTGGGAGGGTATAAGCAGACTCAATAGCAGGCAGTGGTGGTCTCCATTACTGAGAAGCCATGAAGGTGGAGGAAATATATAGGGGATGATGTATATTTTTGAAGAGCTGTCTCTGTTTCAGAGGTGAGAAGTGCATGATTGACAGGAATGAGTTTCCTTCAAAGCACTGGTATAAGCAAATGAGGAGAAGGCAGTAGTTTGATTGACATGAGGAAGATTGAAAGAGGCCTGATTAGGGCTAGAAATCAATATGTGGTGTTTACAGGCATGAATTTGAGATGCTTAAAGCATCCTCACGGAAGTATCAGATGGAAGGGAAATAGCAGGCTGGAGACTGAAACAGAGCCTGGAAGTAAGGCGTTGATATCAGAGCACTGTTGATACAGACATTCCTAAGAGAGATCTAAGAAATACAGCTCAGGTGTGCCTCAAAAATGCCTTGTTTTTAATTACCTGCTAATGGAGACTTCTGTAAAATTTAACAAAAAGAAATCAATAGGTACACTGCAGGCATTTCAGCATATGGCCCTTTTCTCCTCCTTTAACAGTCACTGCAGCTCTACAATTGGTGTCATGTGCACCTCATTATTGGGCTTCATCTTTTCCCCATGGTCTTGATCAAAATCAGGCCTCACACATTCCAGGCAAGGGCTCAATTTACTTCATGGTTTGTACTTTTAAGAAACAACTTACTTGCCACAGAATGGGTATGCAAAATGACTCATCTAATAATTAACCATTGGTTTCTAATTCAGGGTTGATGATTTTCAGCTTTATTTACCTCAAATATCTGTGTGAAGAAGCATTTTCACCCTAATTTTTCAATAAATTATTTATATACACATATTTATATATAACTATATGCATATATCTGTATATCCATACATATATACACACACATTCAGAATTCACTTCGTGGACTAGATATTGAGGAGTTAGTAAAGTCCTTTGTGGACATTCATAAGATTCTACTAATTCCAGGGCTTACCATTGTGATATGGCTCAGATCATTGCTGACCACAGTGATTGTATCACAATACTTGCTACTAATTTTTTTTCACCCCGAGGGCTCAGATAATCACTTCTAGAGACTGTGTTTGCTGGCATATATCTAACCATGCTTAAGCCAAAGAGAATGCCTGGTTCAGTTGTTATTTATTGTCACCTAGTACCAAGTACTCTAGATGTCACAAATAATGTGTTTTGTTCAGAATCAATTTAAGCTGCAAAAAAGAAAAGACACACATTATTCATTCAAGACCATCCATGTGTTACCTACGTAATGAGCACATTCAAAGAGACCCCAAGTGTGTCAAATATCATTTACTGATGTTTAACAATTGAACAACTATACCCTAGAAGTACTCAGTTGACAAGTCTACATGGCACTCAGCGAACAGCACCTCTTTCAGCATTTCCAGGAATGATGAGGACAAACTCTCAGATGTGCTGTTGAACGCTGAAAGAAAAGTGACTCCCCAGTGGTTTGGTTTTGAGAAAACCAAACCACTGTTGCCCTATTATTTTCTAGTCTTTCAACTTGAAGTTTGATGGGGCTATTGAAATAGCCTCGAAGTTAAGAGCACTTGCTACTCTTCCAGAGGACAGGATTCAGTTCCCCGTACTCATGTCAGATAGCTCACAACAGCTTTTGACTATAGCTAGGGGATTTAATGTCCTCTTTGGTCCCCAAAGGCACCAACATACATCACCACCCACCCACCCCCACACACACCACAGTACACATCCAAATAAAAGTGAATAAAAGTTGCCATTAGAGAGGTTTAAGTTAAAGAAAACATATGCAGGTGAGAGTGAGGTAGAATTGATACATGAAGCAATCGTTAATGTTGGCTTCCCTTTGTTATAAACGTAAACAAACCAAAGCTAGCAGGTCGGTGACTGATCTTTGGTTTTCCACTTGCTGAGAACAAACCCTGTGATGTCTACAAACCACTTACCTTGTAGGTGTCCTGGGCTGTGCATTCTTTCAGTGATATTTGTGTATTAAATGCCTCTTAGCTGGCCGACATTGTGCTGATGATTAGAAGAGTCAGCACTATCAAGATGGAGCCCCCTGCTGCAAGAGATCCTATGTAGGAGCGAAGCATGCTTGCAAATTCACTACAGTAATGTTCCACGAGTGCTGATGATAGGGATAAGGGTGTGGGGTGTTGTGGAAGAAGGAAGCTGGGTGGATTGGTTAGGAAATTGGTTTTAAATCCACAGCCAAGCACTGGGCCGAGCTCTGGGAGTCCTCCTGATGAAAGGGAGGTGGGATTGTACAAGCTCGGGGGTCAAGGACATGATGGAGGAACCCACAGAGACAGCTCACCTCCCTGCTTGGGAGAAACTTAGGCCCTCAGCATGTGTGTGATAGTTATATAGCTTGGTCTGTTTGTAAGGATCTGTCTCTGGAGCTTAGCTGGCTTTGGAGACCTGGTTTCCCATGCTGGTTACCTTGTCCAGGCTTGATGCATGGGGAGGAACTCCTTCCTACCTCAACTTGATGTGTCATGCTTTGTTCGTGCCTGTCCCTCTCAGAATGGATACAGAGGAGAGGGTGGGGAGGGAGTAGATGAGTGTTGAGGAGTGACTGGAGGAGAGGAGGGGGGCGGTAAGCTGTGGTTGGCATGCAAAATAAATGAAAAGGGTTAATTAAATAAAAAGGTGAGCCTAGTAGGTTGGACCCTGTCAAATGATAGTGTATATTGGACATCAGCCACTGACTTAGACATTTCATGGAGAAAGAGCAGTTTTGAGTCATTCTGGCAGCTACAAATAGCACAAGGGAAGGAAGAATTTCTAAAATCCACAATGTGCCCATGGGCCTGAGACTCCGATTCTCCCTGCAAACACTTCCACATAAGCCTTATGTGTGTTCCACTTTCTCACAGGAGCTGAAGGACCCTCACTGTAGGGACGAAATGGCTGCTGCCCGTGGAGCCCTGAAGAAGAATGCCACCATGCTGTACACAGCCTCCCAAGCCTTCCTCCGCCACCCAGATGTTGCTGCGACCAGAGCCAACCGAGATTATGTATTCAAACAAGTCCAAGAGGCCATAGCTGGAATCTCCAGTGCTGCTCAGGCCACCTCACCCACTGATGAAGCCAAAGGCCACACAGGCATTGGGGAGCTGGCTGCAGCCCTGAACGAGTTTGATGTAAGCATCTGGCTGATACCCACAGAGTCTGCACTTAACACACACACACACACACACACACACACACACACACACAGACACACATATATATGTGCTATATATGCAGTATACATATATGTGCATGATTTACATAATTTAAGGGCTACTACAAGTTACAGGCATATAGTAGTATATATAGATTTTCTCAGAATTTTTTGACGGGAAGATAAACTGTATGATATGTATTACTGTTACTGGAAATCTAAAATATTGGGAGAGTCTAGTACACTAATCTTTAAAGACTATAACAACCATGTTTAAGAGGTCTGATTTCTGAAAGGTAGAAGGAACCTCACTCCCAAATCATTTGGGTAATCAATTTCATTAAATAAGGGACAAACATCCAATCAGCTGGGGTTAGATTGCATCTATACTGTGTCTCAGTGGAAAATTTCCCTCAATAGCTTCACTTTAAGTAAGTGACAAGCAAGCCCTATTACCCTAAATCCCTACCTAGTTTTCTAGTCTTTGAGTGTCCCCCTCTCTGGAGTGTTAGATACAAATCCCATAAAAGACCTACCCTCTGCATCTGTTCTTGCTGATGGAATATCCTAGAAGGGACTCAGGAGACTTTCTATGCCTGGACGATGGCCTTGCTGTGTAAGTGCATGAGAGGGTGTAGTCATCAGCAGCCAAGGATGACAGCACACCTTCAAGATGCTCATCCGTGCAGTGCAGTCATCTATCCTCTAGCATGTGATCCTGCATGATGAAAAAGACTTGGAGACTCGTGAATTCCCAGCCTCTTGATTTCATGGGTAGTTTGTTACTCAGTGGAGATGGGGATAGTAGAAAAAGTTTAGAAAAGAACTCACAGGAGAAATAAACTGGGTTACTTAGAAGCTTCTAGGACAGATGCAGGCTTTCTCTTGGGGGAGTGGACGTGAGGTTTTGGCAGCAAATGATTGGTTAGTGGCACGAAGGAAGGATCCTGAAGCAAACAGTGGGTGCCCTGGATTTGATATGGGGAATATAGTTGAGGAATAATTGGAATACTGGGGATTCTGGAGGTTCTGAGATCTTCTTTCTTAATTGATCAGTCTCTGTGAGTGCACACATGTACACATTCTTATACATGTACACACATCGATATATTTGAACTGACACCACATAGTGACTTTGGAGGATTTTTTAAAGTATTTATTTTTAAATATGCAGATATTAAATATATATGTTTGTGTGTCTCTGTGTGGGTGTGTGCTCGTGAGTGTCAGAGCCTGCAGAAGCCAGAGGAGCCTGATCCCCTGAAGCTGGAGTTGCAGGCAATTGTGAGTACCCAACTTGGGTGCTGTGAACCAAACTTGGGCACTCTCCAAGTGCTTGCTACTGCTGAGCAGTCTCTCCAGTCATTCTCAGGGTTTATGTAAGCATCGAATCTGAATTTAGTAATAAAAGGAATGGATGTATTACAGAATTGGGAACTTGGTACTATCTAATTCCATGTGCAACACTTCAGCAGGTAGCTCTCAATTTTTAGAAAAGAGCAACAGTTCAACATAACATTTGCAAGCTTTCATGAATATCAGTAAAGCTGTTCACTTTATTTTGTTACTTATTTTAATTTCCTCACACATTCTAAAAATACACAAAATGTAGATGTGCAGTGCCAAAAAAAAAAAAAAAAAAAAGGACTTCCTTTGCTGAGGGACAGCTTTACTCTGTGAGATTTCCTCTGCTGAGGGGCAGCTTTACTCTGTGAGTAATTCTGTGTCACAGGAAGGGTTTTTTTTTTCTGGAGTAAGAAAAATTAATAAATCCATATATTAATAGGAAAAGAGTAGATCATGCATGCAGATATTAAAACATGCTGTATTGCTACTTTAAATGCATATTGAAACAAAAATTTTTAAAACAAGTCAAAAGTCATCAATAATCTAAAATGCAAAAATATTTTTAAACTAGAGCAATAATAAAACTAAGTTAAAAAGGGATTTATTATTTAGTGAAGTCTGATCCCATCCTTTTAATTACATAGCAGTTTCTTTTGTGATTGAACAGTAAGCAGTGGAAAGTAGTGGGCGGCTGGCCTGTCAGCTGCTGCCACCTTCTGTCCAGCAGTGGGATGGCTCCAGGTCCCTTCGTTCCCTCTAGTGCCAGACCATTTTCAAGAGCAGCTTTCCCCAGTAAGCATTCCATCTGAAGCATCACTGTGACATTAAAAGAGGCTTAGGATTCATAAAATCACATCTGAGCTCATTCCAGAAGTCTCAAATAGTGAAGTATGTCTACACCTTGAACCTTTAACCCTTTCATTTACCACAATGTTGCCTTCTTAGTTAGGGTGCAAAGGCCTTTGGGGAATTAGACACCAGCACAGCAGACTGATTAATCTACTTATTCAATTTCATTAGTTCAGTGAGTTACATATTAATTCATTTCATTGATCATAATGTTAACTAAGGATATTATGCATTAGTGAAGCAACTTTTGTTATGTTAATGACTTATACCAACCAGCACTTTATTATTAATGCTTATTTATTTGGAACTTGCAAGCAATGAAAATTACATGACAGTGACCCAATGTTTTACATTTTTTTCTTCCTTTTTTTGGTATTTTTCGAGACAGGGTTTCTCTGTGGCTTTGGAGGCTGTCCTGGAACTAGCTCTTGTAGACCAGGCTGGTCTCAAACTCACAGAGATCCGCCTGCCTCAGCCTCACGAATGCTAGGGTTAAAGGCTTGCACCACTACCGCCCAGGTACATTTTATGTTCAAAGGCTAACAAAAAAAATAACTTGTGTAGCTGTCTGAGCTGCAACCCAGAACAACAGCTGCCATTGGTGTAGCGACCTACCGGCTGCTCCATGGTAAACGAAATTTGTTTTCAAAACGTTCTGGCCAGTACTGCAGTTACTATTAAAATTTTAAAGAAATACACTATAACTAATCACTTGTAGATTTTCAATCATTTCTTATGCCAGGAAACCTAGATTCCTTAATATTTGAATTTTTTTCACTGAAAATAACAGACTGCTTCTCTTTATGGAACAATTATAAATGGGATGGAGAGTTTGTTTGGTCTTTGTTATTCCGCAGGTATTCTAACTTGAAATTGATTTAGAATTTCTAGGCATCTCCCTGAAATCCACATGCTCTTTACAGAATATGTTAGTCAGCCTCCTATAACTGTAACAAAACACTTGAAATAATCTCCATAAAAAGGAAGTTTGGAGAAGAGCAAAACATCTCAGTGGTTAAGAGTACTTGCTTTTCTTTCAAAGGACCAGAGTTAGTTCACAGTACCCAAGTCAGGTGACTCAACACTTCCTGCAGCTCCAGGGGACATGATGCTCTTCTGGACTTTGTAGGTACCCACACACATAGCACACACTCACACTCATGCATTACACACACACAAACACACACACACACACACACAGAGAGAGAGAGAGAGAGAGAGACAGAGACACAGAGACACAGAGACACAGAGACACAGAGACACAGAGACACAGAGACACAGAGACACAGAGACACAGAGACACAGAGACACAGAGACACAGAGACACAGAGACACAGAGACACAGAGACACAGAGACACAGAGACACAGAGACACAGAGACACAGAGACACAGAGACACAGAGACACAGAGACACAGAGACACAGAGAGACAAAGAGAGAGAGATTAAAAGAAAACTAGTAGTTCTGTAGAAAAAAGGCGGGTTATTTCGGCTCCCACTTTCAGAAATTTTAGTGTAAGACTAAGTAGATTCTTGTCAGAGCCCGTGGTGAGGCAGTGAAGAATGGCAGGAGTGTATAATGGGACAAGATGCTCACCTCAGCATAATAAGTAAGTGAAAAAGAAAGAGACCAAGGACCCAGTATCCCTTTAAGGACATATCCACCAGCACTCCTGGTGGGGGTCTAAACATTGAACATTAGAATACACTTATCCAAATCATACCACAGATACTGGCATTTCACTGAGTGACACTTTACCGCCCTGTTACTGACTTTCATGGTGATACATCATGTTGATAAATGACCTAATATCTACCTAAAGCAGTGGTAATTTATTTTTTTATTTTTTAAAAGATTTTACTTATTTATTTATTTATTTATTATGTATACAAGATTCTGCTTCCATGTATATCTGCACACCTGAAGAGGGCACCAGATCTCATAATGGATGGGTGTGAGCCCACCATGTGGTTGCTGGGAATTGAACTCAGGACCTCTGGAAGAGAGAGCAGTCAGTGCTCTTAACCTCTGAGCCATCTCTCCAGCCCAGCAGTGGTAATTTAAATAGTTAAATCTTGGCAATGCCAAAGTGAGAAGAGCTGTGTGGATAGAAGACAGATCTTCCTAGTCCATATTTCTCTTGTCTTAAAATTGAATATGAGAGGCAGTCAGTATAAGTAGTTATGAATGTCAATTTCAGTTTTTTTTTCCTCAAGAGATTTTTATTTATTAGTTCAAATTAGAAACAAGGCTGCTTCACATTTCAATTCCTCTACCTCCCCTCTCCCTCTACCTCCCCTCCCCCTAACCCCCCAATCCCCCATGTCATCAACCCTCTACTCCACAGGGAGGGTTAAGGCCCTCCATGGGTTTCCCAGAGTCTGTCATATCATCCTGGGAAGGGCCTAGGCCCCTCCTCCATGTGTCCAGGCTGAGAGAATCCCTCCATGTGGGATGGGCTTCCAAAGACCCTTCTTACGCCAGGGATAAATACTGATCCACTACCAGCGGCCTCCTCATTGACATCCACCATCGGTGGTCTGGATCAGCCCTGTGCTGGCCTCCCAGACATCAGTCTGGGGTCCATGCTCTCCCCGGTTTTCAGGTCAGCTCTTTCTGTGGGTTTTACCAGCGTGGTCCCAACCACTTTGCTCTTCACTCCTCCCTCTCTGCAACTGGGTTCCAGAGTTCAGTTGAGTGTTTAGCTGTGGGTGTCAGCCTCTGCTTCTATCAGCCACTGGTTTCAGTTATTATGGGAAGTTGGATGTGATGTGGCTTAGA